ATGCTCCTTATCAGAAAAAAAAAAAAATACTGCGTTTAACAAGGACCTAAAATTAACAGCAGTGCCTTGGTGGTATCAAGCAATCTGGAAACAGTTGCTATGTGTTACTACCTACCAAGCTGTAATCCCTGCTTTTATGTCAGTGCTTGAGTGAAGACTGCTAGATGAGGAGGAATGAAGGGGATTGAGGTTAAGTGAATGGCTTGGGGGTGCAAAACAAAATGGTTCAAAACGATGGCTGAGAGCCAGATTTGGGTTGAACGTTTGTTGGATTTTTTGTTTGTGAGGGCAAAAGCCCTCAATGCAATCCTCAAATGATTTAAGAAAACACAGAGATGAGAATATTCGGATTTTATGCCTGTTTGAATCAAAAAATTGCTACAGAATATCCAGAACGAGTGGTGTTAGAAGAACACAGTGGTGAGCCAAATTGTGCCCACAAAATTATAGGCTGTTAAAAATAAATCACAGACACCTTCCTAGTCAAGCAAAACGATCTGCCTTTGTAAATGGAGGTGGGAAAGACGTGTTTCAAAGCCACTTAACAGTAATGGGGTGAAAGCAGTGAAGGCTGCTAAACAGCAAAACGAAGGGGGAAAATCATAATTAGAACCCAACAGTGTTTCAGCTTCCAGCAAAAACAGCAACTTGCAATTCATTATTAAAAAATAACAAACAAGTGAAAGGGTGCAGAATCTGTTGCTTGCAAAAGACTTCCCCTCTCCTGCAGAAGCACAAATGTGTTTTTTCTTTTTGCTTTGTGCAGATGGCAATGGTAAACTGGCAACAGCCAACCGTCCTGGAATGCTCAATCAAACACCAGCTTTGAGCAACGTAAAGAAGAGTTTTGTTGAAGAAGAATTGTTGGGAAAAGAACATCTGGGTTTCTTGCTCCAGCGTTATGTTTTATTAAGAATTTGGTGTGCTTAGATTTACCACAGGTTTGACATTTATTGGACTCAATGTTGAAAACATCTACCTTTTGTTTTCTTGGCTTCATTAGGGGGAGATGCCAATCCCTGCTCCTTTATAATCTGGATCACCTGCTAAATGCAAACAGGGGCAGAAGTTGCTGAATCAAACTGCAGCAAGTCGCCTGGGAGAGCACTAGCAATGCCTAACAGAGAGGAAAAGGCACAGTTATGGTTACAAAGAGCTATCAATAATTCACATTTTTCTCTCCCGACACACAGGATATTCAGATGTATCGATCCTCGTACGGACCGGCTACAGAGCACCTCAGAAGAATTGATTGCTGAGATCCAGCCATGAAAAACAAAGGGGAACTGAGCATTGGTGCCTGTTACTTACGCAACCAGCAAAAAAAACTACTCTCTTCCACAGTCACATGTACCCACCGTTCCACAGTAATGCTCTCATTTCCTGCCTGGAAAACCAGCTACATCAGTTATTCACACCGTCAGGGTTGATCTGGAAGCCTGAATGAGTTTCCTTCAGAAACTTTTACATTGGATTTGAAAACACATTACAAAAGCTCTACCGAACTGCAGCTCCCATGCTTCAGCTCTGGGCTCCACCAGCCTTTCCCTTCAGGCACTGTTTGAAGGGAGCTTTCAGACCCATTCATTCGTATCATCATGCTGCTTCTCAAAAATGATGCTTTAACGAATGCTGCTAACAAATGAACAATGATAGGATAAGGGGGAACAGTCTTAAACTGAGACAGAGGAGATTTAGGTTAGATACTAGGAGGAAGTTTTTCACACCCAGAGGGTGGTGAGGCACTGGAACAGGTTGCCCAAGGAGGTTGTGGATGCCCCATCCCTGCAGGCATCCAAGGCCAGGCTGGATGTGGCTCTGGGCAGCCTGGTCTGCTGGTTGGCGACCTGCACATAGCAGGGGGTTGAAGTTAGATGGTCATTGTGGTCCTTTTCAACCCAGGCCATTCTATGGGTCCATGATGATGATTCCATGATGAAGAAAGCAAGAGGTGAGGGAACCAGGCCCTTGGCATCTCACTGGTGTGCAGACTTTTGCTGTTGCTTCCATTACCCAAAACATGCTTAGATGCTGGCAGCAGCAGCCCAGCTAAATCCCCAAATCCAGGTCTCCCCTCGAGGACAGCTTTTTAATATTCTAGGAAAGGCATACCCAGATCTTCATGCGGAGTTGAGTGGGGAAAAAAATGTAATTAGCTGAAACAAAATTCTCAGAGAAACTGAATTCCTGATCAAAAGAAAAAAAAAAGTTTTAATTTTTCTGTCAGGAAAACAAATTAGCAGCTTTTATTGTAATGATAAGGTCAGTGTGCTTTTTTCGAGGAAGAAAAAGTGCTTTAATTTGATAATTTTCATGGATGCTATTTAAAATACAGAATGTTTAATAGCATACTAAAATTATAGTAGATGTCTGAGGTCCGTTCCTGGTTATACCATGCTACAGGAGAGTCATGGCAAAGCACCCCAGATTTAATGCTCCCTATCATCAATAAACAGCAACATTCAACAACAGCAAAACAAGAGAAGCTTGGTTTGAATCACTTGCACTTTCCCTGCTGCAAAGATAATTAAAGCAAGCTATCTTCTTGTTTAAACCATACCCACTACCACAAACTACTTGCTATTTGTAAGGCTGATGCTCTAGTGAGTTACACAGGGACAAACATGAAGGTTTTACAGCTGAGCAATGCCCCACGAAGGCAGTGGTCCTCACTCACATACCAAAACACAGCAAACATTCTACAGGAGAGAGGGAAAGCAAAGATGTCTGAGGAACAGCACACGGAGCACAGCTGCCTGCAATGGTAGAATGAAATACCTGCTTGGAGTTTGGAAATTGAGATTTTACCAAAACTCCATCTTTAGAAACATACAGACCTTGTTGTCATGTTTGTATTATGTCTTTTTCTTTTTTTTTTAACTCACATAGCAGCATCAATTTAAGAACAAATCACAGGATAATATTCAAAGGGCTGCAGATATCCACTGTAAATTTATGCTGTGCTTTAATCACAAGTGCCAGAACGGTTTCTGGTGATGCTTTCCAATTACTCTGGGTGAGAATGGAGGGGGAAATAAAGCAAACAAACAAACAAGCCCTCTCCAAAACCAAGAGCTTTCTGATAGCTTTCAGCACTTGCTGTTTACACCAAGCAGCTTCATGCATCTGCATGGAAAACAGCCCCACCAGCAGCTCTTAGTGCTTGGGATGCATGTTGGGAGTGTGACTTATGACATGGCCACAGGGACCCAAAAACTGAGCAGCACATCTGGGCGGTCAGCAGCCATCAATGGCTCCAGGGCACAAGCATTGCAAGCAGGGCACAAAGCACCTCTGCTTTGCTGCACAAACAACACACTGATCTCCTTGGGAGAAGGAGCTGAGGAGAATGAAAACACAAGGGAGAAGAGCAGGGCAGCAGGAGAGAATTGGCACAAGCAGCACTTCCAGCCATCAGCAGCCAACCACAACCTGCATGGGCGCCTTCTTCCCTCGGGACACAAACTGGATCAGCTTGCTCTGTGGTCTCCAGCTACTATTTCCAGCCTTCTAATTAATTGTTAGTATTTCATCCAGTTTATGCTCGTAGAAAGAGAGACTGTTCATTCCACTAATGCAATTAGAGAGCCAGCATCGGAAACACATCGAGTTTCACAACTTTGCTTAGTTAAAAGCAAAATGGGCATCTGTGATCTTCAAGTATTTGTTGCAATGTATTTATAGAAGAGCTTTTTACAGCTTTCATTATCTATTAATTGCATCCAAACCATGCATTGCTCGGCAAGTCTTTACCAAAATGAGACTCTCACTTGAATCTGTCACCTCAGGCCACTTGAATTAAAGCCTAGCACCCACCACAAGCTGTGACCATGCTCAGTTCTCTCCACATCTTTGTACTGTTCTGACACTGAATTTGCTAAGAAGCGAGGAAAATGTATTTCCTGATTTAAAACTGGGAAAAACAAAACAAAACCAAAACAATTTGTTACATCAGAAAACTTGCTGGGAACCTTCCTACGTATACAAAAGGATCCTACAGTAACAGCTCTTCTTTTTCTGGTTATTATTTGCAGATACAGAGAGGTTTTTAATCTTGCAACAATTGATGTATTGTAGCTATTTGCTGGATTGAGTTCTCCCTGCTTTCTTTCTTCATTCTTTGTCTACAAGTGCAGGGAAAGAAATCCAGACAGTAAAAAAAAAAAAAAGAAAAAAGAAAATGGTGTTACTCAATTGCAGGCAAACAGAGAAGACAGAGGTTTAGCTACCAGAGGTTTTCAAGGGAATGGATGAAAAGAAATCTGTGCACCAACACTTCAGGAAATCAGTTCTGTGAAATAAAAGGCTCTGAGCCAACTGGGTTTGTTTTTTTCCAGGCAACACAGCACCTGTGGCAAAAGCTCCTGGAGAAATAAGAGCATGATCCATTCCTCTGAAATGAATAGAAAGTGCCATATGCTCCCATCTCCAGATGATTACACGAGGAATGTTTTCCTTTGGCAGAAGGATCAAATAACTATATGGTTGCATTGAGCAGTTAATGCATAAATAACTACAATAATTTCACATCATGGTCAACTTGAAAAGATGAACTTGCTTATACGTGGAAAGAGAATGCGATTATACATGATTTTATATAAATCTGTAGTCAAAATGCTGCTCAAGAGTATACTGCAGAGGCAGCTGATTCAGCACATTAATAAATGATATGTTCCTGATTCCTGATGAATAAATACCCATTTACAGGTTACATATGATTCAACAATACTATTTGTTTAAAACCATTTGAAACGGTCTTAAACAGAGACAGGGGAGGTTTAGGTTGGATATTAGGAGGAAGTTTTTCAGCCAGAGGGTGGTGAGGCACTGGAACAGGTTGCCCAAGGAGGCTGTGGATGCCCCATCCCTGCAGGCATTCAAGGCCAGGCTGGATGTGGCTCTGGGCAGCCTGGTCTGCTGGTTGGCGACCTACACACAGCAGGGGGTTGAAACTGGATGGGCACTGTGGTCCTTTTCAATCCAGGACATTCTGTGATTTTCTGAATCATTTTTAAACCAGCCTGTCATTTATTTATAGGACTATCATAGCCAAATTCATCTTTAGCCTGCTTCTTGAAAAAAATACATATCAGTGCTTGTCTTGCACATATATTTGAAGTTTACAAGACTATACTTTAAATAAAGAAATCTGAACACTGAGTATTGAGGTTATGGAAGGGGAGTGGAGGCAGCAGAGAAAGCAGCATGCAAACCCAGACACCAAGAGCCTCCCCTAGTGCTCAGGTCTATTTGCCATAAACATGTATGCTCAAGGCTCAAAGCAGGCTGCCTGCTTCCAGACACGAGTTGCCATGCCAAGGGGGCTATTAGGAGTGACACAATGATGGATTTCTGTCACTCTCACTTCTCACATGCTTGGGGCTACTCAAGAAAGGGAAGCAGTTAGGGAGGCAGCTCGAGTAAAAGCTACAGGTTTGGGTACAGAAAACAGATTTTGCACAATATACAACAAACATTTCTATTTATAGTTTTGTTGAATTCCTGTGCCCAAAAGCGTGCAGCCTCTCGGTACATTCCTGTAGCCACAGCAGATGGTGGGAGACAAAAGGGAAGGAGATGAAGTATTTTTACCACCCTCCTGAAACACCAAGTTTGTAGGGAATGGGAACATGCCACAAGAGGCTGACACCACAACAAGAAGTTTACAGCCAGAAGGGCATCCCCAGGCACAAGGAATGTACTGTGAGACCCTAGCAAATATCAAGGATGCCCAAATTATCAGGAGGACTCCTGCATCGCCTATGCAAACCCTGCCCCAGGGTGATGGCACATGCTATCACAGCTTCATGGATGAAAACAAGCCACATTCTGCTTTAATGTTGATTTTCCAAAACCTGCCCACTTCCCGAGCAAATTAACCCAAATGGAAACAAAACACTGACAACTAGAGGAGTACAAGATTTTTAGTCCATGCTTTTTTGCTAACAAGAATAAAACAGCAGAAAGCTCTTTGGAGAACAGCTTAGGAGGGCTCAACAAATAGCAGCTGCTAATGAAGTGCACTGCGTTAGCTATCTCACTGCCTTATGTTCCAGGACCAGGAGGACTGCAAACAGCTCGGCAGCAGCAGCAGGACAGACACACTGAGATGACAGCAACTTCCTCATGCGTGGGCACAACAGCATGTGACTGCTACTGAAAACAAAGCAGAGATGAATGACACATAGGTGAATTTACGCAGATTGAGTACCGTGAGGAAATGCCTGTATAGCCCCTCTTTTGGGGAGGAAGGACAGCAAAGCAAAGCTGTCGTTGATTCCCTTGAATTTCAAAGATAAAATGGATAGGACTGGAAGGCGATAGCAAGTCCAGGGGGAGAACTGGAGAGCAGTAGTAAATGGGACAAAAACAAAAAGGTAGGAGGTTGAGCCACATTGGAATGCTATGAGGAGTACCAGAAAACAGTACTTGTCTTTGCTCTGAAACATCAGCTTCACTGCTTCCCTCTCTGCTAGCCTGGAAAACCTGCAGAGGAAACTGATTTTTCCCCACAACCTAGGAAAAATTAATACACGTTGATATTCATCCTCTGTGCCCAGTTCCCTGCAGGCTCATCTTTCTCATGCACCATAAGAGCTGAGATACCTCCAGCTGTAAACCCATCCTGAACTGGAAATGCAGATAGTTTCAAAAACACTGGTGGGCAACAGGCTCCCGGATCCTCCCAGATGTGCCACAGCCACTGAACACGAGCCAGCAGTGTGCCCAGGTGGCCAAGAAGGCCAACGGCATCCTGCCTTGTATCAGAAATAGCACAGCCAGCAGCAGCAAGGAAAGGATAATCCCTCTGTACTCAGCCTTGGTGACGCCGCATCTCAGTGCTGTGTTCAGTGCTGGGCCCCTCACTATAAGGATGTGGAGGACTGGAGCGTGTCCTGAGAAGGGCAGCAGAGCTGTGAGGGGTGTGGAGCACAAGTTTTATGGGAAACAGCTGAGGAGCTGAGATGATTCAGTCTGGAGAAGATGCTTCAGTGGAGGAGTCCTCAGGACTGACCTTATCACTCTCTACAACTACCCGAAAGCATGTTATGGTGAGGTGGGAGTTGGCCTCTGCTCCCAGGAAGAGAGATGATGCTTTCAGCTGGTGCCAGGGGAGGTTCAGGTTGGATATTACGAAAAATGCCTCAGAAATGGTGGTGAGTTATTGGAACAGGCTGCCCAGGGAGGCAGTGGAGTTGCTGCCCCGAGTGCTGCTCAAGAAACATGGAGGTGTGGCACTGAGGGACATGCCTGGGTGGGCATGGTGCCAATGGGTTGACAGTTAGACTTGATGATCTTAGAGGTCTTTTCCAACCTTAATGATTCCGTGGTTCTACGATAAGATGCTGTCCACAAGCAGAAAGTCCTGAAGACCTGTGAAGATGTGATGTTTACACCATCAGCTGACAGAAAAGATGGCACTCCATCCACAGCTTAAGCAAATGAGTTCTTCTAGCTACAGTCACATCCTTTCCAAAATCATGCTTCTCATAATACAGTATTCAAATGGGCTAAAGAAATACTGAAAAGCAGAATGGACACCCTACCCTCCACACAGAGCTGGTATGAACATGTGCTCCATTAATCATCCATAAGCCACAGAAAGGGCTTTGCCTGCAAGGTCACCAATGCCAAGAAGATGCTGCTTTTGTATCATTTCTAAAACCACCGCATGACACTATGCACAAAGCTGCGAAAATGATTACTACATCCCATTATAAAAATCAACCTTTGCCTGGTGGGTTTTTGTTTGGTTGTTTTTTTTGAGTAACAACAAAGCTATTGTTTGCACTCCAAACCCAAGATCTCAGTGCCAAAATGAGATCAACATTTCTGAAGGCTTTCTCTGGATTTCCTGGGAATAAACACTTCACTTCTTTGATATAAAGAGCTTAATTTTTTTTCTTTTTTAATCTCCCTCAAACATACAGCACCGCGCTACAGCTCAGCATAATGGAGACCCACAGAACTGCTCAAGTGATGCACGTCTGAGCAAATACTTGATGACTGTACAGGTTGGGGATTTTATTTCTTTCTCTCCAAGGATGCACTGTTTATCTTGATGCCTTCCTACAGCAACTTGGTTTAATTTTATTTCCTAGGTGAACAGATGTACTCAATGCAGGTGTTAGTGAACACCCTCAAATCAAGCCCTACTGCTCACCTGCCCCTCTGGATGCATGTGCATAGGGGGTTGCTGGTCCACAGGCTTCCTTTGACAGTGGCATCAGGCACGGAGTTACAGCTGTCTCATATGCAATTATTTCTTTCTCTCTCCTAAAACAGGAGCGTTCTCCCATCAGTTGCTCTGCTGTGTTATCTATCTATAAATACTTGTGGAAGTAATCCAAGTGCATTGGGTTTTGCCCATATGAGAGCTTAAAGACGGACTATTAAATGCACTGCACCAAAGTGTATCTGAACAAAACACATCAACTGCAGTGAGAAAGGAGCAGATAAAGATTCCTGGACAAGAGAAAAATCAAGTCTTCTAGATGAACTTTCCTTCTCCCAGTTGCTGCACATGAACTTCCCATGATACGAGGAGTCAGTTCCATCCCTGCAGTAAAGCAGCAAGAAAGATTCTGCACAACTAAGAGCACTGAATACACACATCTGTATACAGCATCCCCAGGAGAACAGCAAGCAACTCTTCAGCCTCTGACCCCCACACAGCAACAGCAGAATAAAATACTATGCTTGATAAACTCCCAGGGGTTCTAGATGGACAATGTAGGCAAGCAAAAGGGCCAAAAAAAGCAAGCCCAGTGATGGACCTGAGCACTTCTCCAGCATACTCCTATCTCACGGGTCACACTGTCTAAGTACTCTTCAGCTCAAACTTCAGCTAAGGCTTCCTGTGGAGCAACACTTGGAAAAAAAAAAACATGTCAATTGAAATGGAGTAGCTATTCACCCTCAAGGTGAAGGACTCCCAAGGGTTACACCCTGGGCTGGATAACTCACACAGCAACTGGCAGGGCTTTCTGCTGGGCATTATTACAACCTGACGCCTCTGCACAAAGGTATGGAGCTTGACACTGCATCTTAAAACTCATCCAATTTATCAGGAAGATCAATGTATTTCATCTTAGTTTGTCTTGGAACAGAACACTTCAATCTTTACTTCAACTTTTTGGAAAAACTGCATGCAATGCGTATACGAAGTTTAAGTCTAGTGTCTCAAAAATCTCTCCTGAACTTTTTTTTTGGCAAAGAATTCAACTTGTTTGAAATTTTTACATAGAATCTTCTAAGTTAGAAGGGACGGTTAAAAGTTACCTAGTCCAACTCCCCTGCAGTGAACAGGGCCTCTACAGCTCCATCAGGTGCCCAGGTCTTGTCCAGCCTGACCTCAGGGACAGGGCACCATCGCATCTCTGTACAACCTGTGCCACTGCTTCACTATCATTATTGTGAAATACTTTTTCTTTACATCCAATCTAAATTTCCCCTTCCTTTAGTTTGAAACCATTTCCCCTTGTCCTATCACACAGATCCTACTAAAGAGTCTGTCTGCTTCTTTCCTGTAGCTCCCTTTTAGATACTGAGGCTGCTCTCAGGCCTCCCCAGAGCCTTCTCTTCTCCAGGCTGCACAGCCCCAGCTCTCTCAGCCTGTCCTCATAGGAGAGGTGTTCCATCCCTTGGATCATTCTTGTGGCCCTTCTCTGGATGCACTCCAACAGGTCCATGTCTCTCCTGCACTGAGGACTCCACATCTGGCCACAGTGCTCCAGGTGAGGTCTCACCAGCACAGAGCAGAGGGGCAGGATCACCTCCCTCACCCTGCTGGCCATGCTGCTTTGGATGCAGCCCAGGATATGGTTGGCTTTCAGTGCTGGCTCATGTCCAGCTTCCCATTCACCAGTACCCCCAGGTCCATTTTGGTAGGGCTGTCCCGTATTGTCACATCCCTCAGCTTGTACTGACAGTGGGGGTTGTCATGATCCAGGCACAAGACTTTTCACTTGGATTTGCTGAACATCATGAGGTTCTTAGGGGCCCACTGCTTAAGCCTGTTTAGGTCTCTCTGAATGGTATCCTGTCCTTCAGGTGTGTCAACCATACCCCACAGCTCAGTATCATCTACAGACTTTCAGAGGGTGCAACTCAATCCCACTGCCAATGTGTCACTGATGAAGATGTTAAAGAGCATCAATCCCAGTAGTCACTCTTGAGGGACACCACTCATCACTGATCTCCACCTGCAGATCGAACCATTGACCACCACTCTGTGGTATGACCTTGCAACCAGTTCCTCATCCATGGAACAAGCCACCCATCAAATCCTTATCTTCCCAATGTGGAGAGAGGGATGATATGGAGGACAGTGTCAAAGGCCTTACTGAAGTCCAGATAGATGACATCAGTGGCTCTTCCCCTGTCCACTGATGTAGTTACGCCATCATAAAGAGCCACTAGGGTGGGTCAGGCAAAACTTACTCTTGGTGAGGTCCTGTATCACCTCTCTTTCTCTCTCCCACATCAGCATAGCTTCCATGAGGCTCTGCTCCTGGATCTTTCTTGGCACTGAAGTGAGACATGTCAGTAGTTACCTGGTTCGTTTTTTCTACCCTTTTTAAAGATGGGTGTGACATCACCTTTTCCAGTCACCAGGGAATTCACCTGACCATCCTGACTTCTCAAATATCATCAAGAGTGACTTGGAGACTAGAGCAGCCAACTTCCTGAGGGTTCTGGAATGCATCTCATCAGGACCCATCGACTTATGGACGTTCAGGTTCCTCAGGCGGTTGAGAACCTGATTTTCACATACAGCAGGAGGGACATCACTGCCCCAGCCCCTTCCTTCTGAACTGTCTGCTCGAGGGCTGCGTGTAGAGCAGCTGTTAGTAAAGACTGAAGCAAAAAGTTAAGTATCTCAGCCTGCTTTTTGTCTGTTTTTACTAGCCTGCCTGTGTTACTCAGCTGGGAGCCTATGCCCTCCTGGACTTTCCTTTTCCACCTAATGTGCCTATAGAAGCCTTTCTTATTCTTTTCAACTTGCTGAGTTCTGAAATGAAACAAAATATGAAACCGTGATGTCTGGTCTTCGGGCAACATGAAGATGGGCAAAGAGATGAAGAGGAAAGAAAGGGTAAACCTTATTCTAACTCATCTGTTTGAGTCTCCAGTGAAGTAAGCCCAAAAGACGTGCTCCCACACAGACATCCCTTTTTATAAATCCACATGCATTGCTCCCACTGGCCAACAGCAGAAAACTGGATATTGCTACTGGAAAAGGGATTGATTCTCCTCCATCTCTGTGCTTTTTATTTGTCTCTCATTGCACAAGCTGCTTTCAGAATTAGTATTTTTTTGCTTAGCAGTGGTTAGGTCCTTCTGTTAAACAAACCAGCAGGGGAAGATGCCCTTTAACAGCTGTTTCCAAAATAAGGTTTGTATGCACACGGAAATTGGAGCTAACAGCATGTCACACCCTAAAACAAGCATTCAGCATGTGTATGCACATTGTGTGAAAAATTCTCAGCACAAGCAACTTTCACTGCTGAAACCAGGTGTGCAGTTTTCTATGCCACTGCTTTTCCTCTCCCCTCCAGCACTCATTGTTACTAGGCAGTAACATTATCTTTAAGCATCTTGCCATTTACTGTTCCCCTATTAGCATTCAAGCCCATACGAGCGTGATGAATTTTCAAAAGCACAATGTCCTCTGGTCAAACTTTTGCACAGTCGAGGCCAATAAACTTGGATTTCTCCCCTGTGCTCTGGTCCCAGGTTAGTAAAACTGCTCCATTATTTTGATTATGAATAAAATTCAATATCTTCAGAGATGCTGATCAGCACGTGCTTTCCCTATGCTGCAGAACCACTACAGCAATGTAGTTTACCCACATGTCAAAGCATCTTGATGGTGTAATCAAGCAGAAAAACACGGGTCACTGCAGCCAGGTGACCTTTGGCCATGTGAGCTGGTCATGATGCAAAGCAGTCACTGTTAAAAACAAAGCATTGGAAAGGACACAGAGGCTTTATGTGCATCTAAGGCACCTGCAGCCAAAGTCACTTGGAAGTGGAACCATGTGGCAGATTCCCTTGCATTATAAGCACCACACCAGGTAAATGCTGCAGTTTTCACACAAATGAAGTTAAGGAAAACAAGGAGAGTATTTCCCATAGGAACACAAGGTGCACCTACAGCCACAACCACACCCTGGTTCTGACACCATAAGGAGAGTTAAGCCCTTGGCTAATCAAAAAGGTTATTTACTGCCCCAAAGTACTTCAGTACTGGTCCAAGAGCTGATGACCAACTTCGAGCACTGCTAAAACCTCAGATGGAAGGAAAAAAAAAAAATCAGGGTTGAGAATAAAGAAAAAAGAACTAAGGGGGAAGGGTCGATCAGCTGAGAAAAAGAGGAGAAATAATAAGGAAAAAACAAGCTGAAAGATACATTACTGATGCTTTTTTTTTTTTTTTCCCATTGAAGTCAGTGGTTAAGTCCTTATTGTTCTGTGGGACATCAGAAAGAGGTAATGCACTGGAAGGGAAATAGAAATAGCTAGTGAGTGAAAATGCCAGCTCCCTGCAAGTTACGGTCAGGAATACTGCAGCAAAAAGTAAATGCTGCTGGGAACATAAGGCATTTCCTTCTCCCTTTCACAGGGACAAGGAGCGAAGCAGATCAGAACACGAGTGATGCTCAGATTGCTTTAACACAGTCAAGAGCACACAAGATGCAAACATACCAATGTTATTTGCGAGGGGAAGAGCACAGGGCGTAGGGGGCAATGACTTCAAGCAGAGATATCTGTGAGATCCCCACACAGCACAACACCATTTCAGTGTGACTGCTGGTAAGGAACAGAGCTGCCCTTCAGCTTCACAGAATCATAGAATGAGGGAGTGACTCAGGTTAGAAAGAATCTGAAAAATCAACTAGTCCAATCCCCCTGCTGTGGTTATCCCCACCAGATCAGGCTGCCCAGGGCCCCAACCAATCTGGCCTTGAGCATTCCAGGGATGAGGCATTCTATAGCTTTGCTGTGTTCTGAATAAGTTTGGGGGTGCCCTTCCTGGCACACACAGATGGAGGAGCCGGACTGAGGATGCAAGGAGAGATGCAGCAGCCACTGCAACTCTTAGAGTCAAGGGTACCCAAACTTCAGCTGAGAGCTTTCAACACAAATGAAGTTTCATGGCCAGCCATTTGTCTCTACTGCAGTATTAGGTATGTGACTGTGCAACTGCAAACAATTTGGGGTCAAATGGGCAGATCCTATTGGCAACTTCAAGGCTGTGTTCCACCACTGGCACCTGGCAGGACAGGCACAAGGAGGAGCAGGTGAGCCAGAACACCAGGGAACTGCAGTCAGAGCACAGGTGCACATTATTTAAGTACCGTAGATCATCAGTGAGACAAAGAGATAGGCCTGACTTCTTTTTTTAAAAAAGGAACAACTATTACCTGTAGCAGCTGGATCTTATCTGCTTTTACTGTAAATAAAAAGCTGTCAGGCTGCTCCCCTTACACAGCACACATCACTGTCTGCACTGCTTAAGCTGGCAACATCTCAAACTTCCTTTATCCCCCACCAAAGTTTCGGAAGATGAGCTCTCTTACAAGCTGAATAAAATTTTACACTAAATTAAATTAATTCAACGAATCATAGAAATCAGACCTTCCTCCAGCTAAATGGTTGGCTTTAATTCCCGGGCTAGTTACAATTCTTTTCTCTACTATAATGCAATTATGTATGGCAATTAACCTAGCATTTGCTTTGCAATATCCTTTTTTAAGACTACCTGAATAAAAAAAAAAAGAGCCAATACATGGCTCTGCAGTATGGTCTGAGCGTTCTACCCTGTATCTCATGTAAGACACAATACAGGGACTTGAAACCATGTGTAAGATGACAGACAGCCCTACAGGTTGTGACAGTCTTTTCTACTGCCTCTTGTAATATCATAAGCATGTTAATTGCTTCTTATTGCTTCAATGCCTGTGCACCAGTGCTACCACCACGAGAGCAGAACAGAACCAGTGTTACACTACAGGAAAACAGCAGCTCTTCAGAAAGAGGAAAGTCTTACATCAACATATAAAGAAACACAAGTTGCATCCATCAAATGTAAGCACCCAACTAGTATCTGACCATGACCTCCCCTGAAAAGTCAATTACTTACAACAACGCCTGAATGTCTAATGCAACTTCTAAGTTCTGCAAACCCAAATATATTTTGGTTGTATTATTTAAATATAATTCTCTTCTTCATGAATGAGCACAACGTGTTCCCACATCAACACTCCTCCTTTGCAGCTCTGCAGCAGCGTGCAGATCTCATCTGCAGGGCACAGGAGACAGCACCAGCCTGCAAGCTGCAAACAGCCATGTTGAGTGTTTCTTAGAGTATTCACATAATTACTGTGCTCGCCACCGTCCCCGCTAATTAGTGTCTGCA